ATATATTAAAAAACCAACTAAAGGAGTTAGATGAATCCCCTTCTGCCCCTAGTCACAAGTGAAGGAAGAAAATGATATGAGAGGCATAGGGAAGACTCAATTAGCACAACACACAACTTTGACTCCGATAAAACTGATCCTCATTTCTAGGCTTAGTCTCAAACTCTTATTCCAAAACTCAAAACTAGCCGGAGATACCCATTTTGAGCTCATTTAAACAGATGTTTCAGCTAAATGGAAGTGATCGAGCAATGAAAAAAATTAGTTTTTGACTTACAAATTGAATGGCATTGAGGTACTGTGAAAGAATAAATTTGTGTATACATCACATTGTGCCTTTTATGCGTCTTTTACGCGTGGAATCTATATATATATATATATATACGATGCTTGTAAGTAATGTATCAATTTAAGCAGATCCTAAGAAATTGTTGAACTAGTTCACAGAATCTTTGGGATATCTCTTGAGATGTCCTTGTAATCCACATAATAAAGACCAAATCTCGACGAAAATCCAGCTGCCCATTAGCAGTAATCCATCAAAAACCACACAAAGTATCCTTCTACATTGCAGCCATCTTCTCTGCATATTCACCACAATAGATATTGAATGAATACATTGTGTTTTAAATTTGTCAATCAAGTAGGATTTTAGACGCGAATGACTTACTTGATAGCAGCAAGTAGATAAGTAAGATAGTCATTGTGATAATTAATCCTTTTCATATCCTTGAGAGTATCTTGTCGCAATGTAAATATGAATCATCCATTCCTGTAACAGTCAAGAAATCAAAATAAGAGGCTCGGACCATTATTTCTTCTAGAGTCATTTTCAAATTCAATAAATATTGATTGATCGTATAGTTTAGAAGCTACATTGTAGATTTAGAGACTTACCATTTTTAGTGATTATGATTAGAGGGTTCTCATAGTTTTGCTTGATGTAGTTCATTAAGGTTCTAATACCATGAGGTACTATGTACAACCATATTGAACTTGCCTGCAATTAAATATCATCATTATTGTACATATACTTTTTGGTTGTTATAGAGAGCATATAGTATAACATAACATGAAAATCGTTCCAAATAAAACTTAGTTGTTATAGTGAAGTATTGTTATAGAGAGGTTTAACTTAACCCTGTCTGCTATTGGCTTTATACCTTTGAATGCTGCAAGATACAATAGCACACGAAAAATGCTTAGTTCTCAATTCACAATGAATTTCACAATAAGTAGAATGAATCATGTAATTAGTTAATAGTGTTATCGATGACATACGAAGGGTAATGGCATCAGAGCTTGCGACAGAGTAATCGAGCATAACACCAATTATGTTGGTTTTGTTCTTGCTGACATACCATGTAGTATAATGATTTATTCCTATGAAATCCTATGAACCTTTAACGAGTGCAGAAGCGAAAATTTAGGCAAAAAGGTTTCCCACTCTTTCTATCATCGAACTCGGATACCTTCCAAGAATAACACACTCAAGATACCTGAATTCAATAACAAAACATTTCACCATCAAAAGGAAAAAATGGAGAGCATTTTTTATTGTTACAACATAATCTTTACCAGTCAAAATTAAACTCAATGGCCCTTTAATTTGTGTTGCTTCAATGTCATTTTTAGAGTTTGTTAAAGGTTAATACCAAAAGCTATCTAGTGATATCCCAATTGATACTTGTTGTGTTGGTTGCAACACCAATTGATCACAAAGACTAATCACAAAAATAGTCTGCATATGTATAATTAGGGGTGTACAAAATCGAACCGAAAACCGAATCAAATCAGAAAAAAAATCCGACTATATTTGGGTTGGTTTGGTTTTAACTACCCCGACTATATTTGGATTGGTTTGATTTTAACTTAAAAAAACCAACTCGAGACCAAACCAATCCGACATTATATATGTAATTTTAAAATTTTATTTTATACATAAAAATATTTACTTTGATATAATTTTTAAATATTTCTTATACTTTTTCATAGTTTTTATCTTTTAATATATTACTTCAAGTTTGAAACTTAGAATTTTGATTAGTTCCATAAAGATTATAGTCCATAGATGTTGGTAATTATAATAAAACTTAAATCAAAATCAAATTAATACTAATGCAAAAAGAAAATGAATTCAACACTAAGAATGACAATAATATTGAATATTTGTTCTTTAGTTTTACATTGGTTTAGACAATTAAAATACATAATCTAATTTTAATTTTCCTTAAATATTTAGTAATGTAACTAATACTTATTAAACTTATTTTAGCATGATTTAGTACTTTTAAATTATGATCATTTTCATTATGACTTTGCAATATTTATTTTATATGATGTTTCATTATTATTTTTTATTGAATATTTTAGTGTCATCAATATTCATCTCATAATTTATGTTATTTTCTTAAGAAACACCTTAGATAATTGTATTTTGGTTGGACTAAAGAAATATTTGGAGCACAAGTTAATTATATGTTTGTATGCAAACTTTACTGAAAAAATCCAAATTTTATTAGTTTGGTTTGGTAAATTAAAATTTTTTACACAAATGATTTGGCTTGATATTTGAAAAACCCGAACCAACCCGGTCATGTACACCCCTAATGTCAACAACAAAATTGGTATGAGCAAGGAGTAGATTGTGAGTAACAATGTAAGGCTCAGTTGCAAAGTTTTCGACACTGCATAAAGCTTGTAGGAGGATGGAGCATCGCCTTCCTGGTGTTTGTAGCCCTATATCAAAGTCTTGGATGACATCAATACGAGGTTCATTGAAAGTGATCCAATTCTTCATACTATCACCAAAATTCTTGAAGTATGTCTCCGCATATGAACACACAAGGCTTTCATTGATTGAAACACCTTCCCACATTGTTGACAATTTTTTGATTGAAACACATTCCCACAATGTTGACAATTTTTTCCTTGTGGCAAAGGAGTGCATGTCAGATCCTCCGTAGTATTGTGAGTTATTATTTTTGAAGAGTTCGACCAACGTAACTTAGAATCCTCGACCCTCCAAATTTCGATAGGTTCTCTCTAAGAACAGAAACAGAAGGAATCCCGCTTCAAATTTGATTAGACCTCATGCAACACAACTTATTAGCTTCAAATTTGATTAGACCTTATGTAACCCAACTTATTAGCTTCAAATTTGATTAGAGCTTATGTAACCCAAGTGACTTTCCACATGGATACTTCTTGTTACACCACTTGCACACAAACTTCAAATCTTGATCTGTTTCCATATTGCTATACTTAAATCAAATCTAAAAACTAAGATCAACTTACATAATGTCAAGACGGTACCTTAATGAGAATTCTCACCCCACTATTTTATATTTACGGAGTGGAGTAAAGTTGTAAGAAAACTTGGACTATGTTCTTTTTGTTTGGCTTTTTTATGATAGACTAGTTTGTAAATATTAAGTGGTCTTAAAAATTAATGACCCTTAATATGTTCAACAATGCATTGTAGTCTAGTTGGTTAGTATATTCGAGTCTCATCCCAGGTTCAAGTGCTGACAACAAGGATTTGAGTAGAAGAAATTAGCAACTATACATTTTTTATTATTTTTTATATAAAATCTATTCTTCTAGTTTTTTACGACGTAAAATTGTTAATATATTTAAAATTATTTTTGATATGCAAAGTTATTTCTTTCTTCTTAATTAAAAATGTTATTTTTTTTATATAAATAGTACTCTATCAGTTTTAATCTTTTGTCCAATTTTGACTTGACATGAAACTTAAAAGAGTAAAGAAGATTTTCAGATCTTGTGGTCTTAAACTAAATTATATACATATATATACCAAAAATCTTTTAATCTTGTGGTCATAAATATGTCATGTGGAAAGTTGAATTAAAAATTGACAAAAAAGAAAGAAACATTCTTTAATGTTTCAAAACGAACTAAAAAATAGTATAATTTTCTTATTAAAAAAACTTATAATAATTCTATTATTACTATAAAATGGGATCCCTTAAATTTTGGGCCCAAGACGATGCCTCATTTATGGGGAACTTTCACATATAACCACTCAAAAATAGCCTAATTACTCTCCATAGCTATAGTTTGATAATTACAATTCGTAGCTACATGTTATATGGAGGAGAGAGGCGAGCGAGACTGGGAGAGAGGCGAGAGAGAGAGGGGGCAAAGAGTGGGAGAAAGGTGAATTGTATATGTATATAGGTTAGATAATTGTATATTATACATATGCATTTGTATATATGGCAAGCGAGATTGGGAGAGGGAGGAGAGAGGCGAACGAGAGAGAGCAGAGCGTGAGAGAGGTGTATTGTATATGTATATAGGTTAGATAATTGTATATTATACATATGCATTTGTATATATGGCAAGCGAGATTGGGAGAGGGAAGAGAGGGGCGAGCGAGATTGGGAGAGGGAGGAGAGAGGCGAACGAGAGAGAGCAGAGCGTGAGAGAGGTGTATTGTATATGTATATAGGTTAGATAATTGTATATTATACATATGTATTTGTATATTCTGGCAAATTATACATATACAAACGTGGCAAATTATACAAATTCGAAGTCAGCCCGCGTAATTAATGTATAATATTAGTCATGAGTGGTAAGTATAGCAAACTATAGCTATGATGAGTAATTAAGTAGTATAAGTTTGTTTAACCGCGTAATTTTCCCTTTATAAAGGCATTGAGCTGCCTGGAGTTTATATAATGTGATTCCCCAAGTATATATAACGTGATTTTCCAACAAAGGAGGTTACTAGTTAGGATGCATAGGGAGGACTAAATTAGCACTAAACACTACTTTGAATCCGATAAATTTGATCATCATTTCTAGGCTAAGTCTCAAACTCTGACTCCTAAAACTCAAAACTAGCTCAAAATGCCCATTTTGAGCTTGTTAAACAGATGTTCCAACTGAATTTGAGTACAAATTAATCACATAATAGCAGAAAAGAAAGTGATCAACCAATGACAAAATTTGTATGATACCAAACAACCTTTGTATGAGCAAACTGAGTGCAATCTATTGAATGACATTAAGATACTGTGAAAGAATAAATGTTTGTATACATCGCGTTATGCCTTTTTATGCATGAAATCTAGGCATATATGGTGTTTGTAAGTAACATGTATCAATTTAAGCAGATCCTAAGAAGTTCTTGAACCAGTTCACGGAATCTTTGGGATATCTCTTGAGGTTGTCTTTGTAATCTACGTAATAAAGACCAAATCTCGACGAAAATCCAGCTGCCCATTCCCAGTTATCCATCAAAGACCACACAAAGTATCCTTTCACATTGCAACCATCTTCTCTGCATATTCACCAAAACAGATATCGAATGAATACGTTGTGTTTTAAATTTGTCGATCAAGTAGGATTTTAGACATGAATAACTTACTTGATAGCAGCTAGCAGATTAGTAAGATAGTCATTGTGATAATTGATCCTTTTTGTATCCTTGAGAGTATCTTTTCGTGATGTAAATATGTTATTTGAATCATCCATTCCTGTAACAGTTCAAGAAATCAAAATAAGAGGCTCGAACCATTTCTTCTCGACTCTTTTCCAAATTCAATAATTATTGATTGATCGTATCGTTTAATAGCTACATTATAGATTTAGAGACTTGCCATTTTCAGTGATTATGATTAGAGGGTTCTCATACTTTTGCTTGATGTAGTTCAATAAGCTTCTTATACCATGAGGCACTATGTACAACCATACTGAACTTGCCTGCAAGTAAATATCATCAGCCTTGTACATATACTTTTTGGTTATTATAGATAACATATAATATAACATAACATGAAAATCGTTCCAATTCAAGATATGAAAGATATGAAATTACATACCCTGTCTGCTATTGGCTTTATACCTTTGAATGCTGCAAGATACGAAAGCACAACGAAAAAAATGTTTAGTTCTTAATGCACAATGAATTTCGCGATAAGTAGAATGAATCATGCAATTAGTTGATAGAGTTGTCAACGACATACGAAGGGTAATAGCACCAGAGTCTGCAACAGAGTCATTGAGCAGAGCACCAATTATGTTGGTTTTGTTCTTGCTGGCATACCATGTAGTATAGTGATTTATGCCTATGAAATCGTAGGAACCTTTCACGAGTGCAGACTCAGTTGGCGAAAATTTAGGCAACCGGCTTCCCACTCTCTCTACCATTGAACTCGGATACCTTCCAAGAATCACAGGCTCAAGATACCTGAATTCAGTAACAAAACATCTCACCATCTAAAGGAAAAAATGAGTGAGCATTTTTTACTACTACAACAAAATCCTTACCAGTCTAAATTAAACTCAATGGCCCTTTGTGTTGCTTCAATGTCATCTTTGGAGTTTGTTAAAGGCTCATACCAAAAGCTATCTAGTGAAATCCCAATTGATCCATGTTGTGTTGGCTGCAACGACACTTGATTACAAAAATACTCCGTAGATGTATAATATATGTATACTATGGGTATAATCCGTGTATAATCTATGTATACTAACTAGGAAAAGTCTCAATTTATTGCATGTTCTTCTCTTTTCAAGTTTTTTTTTACCTTGTACTTCTTTTTGTAAATGTCAACAACAGTGGCATGAGCAAGGAGTAGATTGTGAGTAACAATGTAAGGCTCAGTTGCAGAGTTTCCAGCTCTGCAAAGAGCTCGTAGGAGGATGGAACATCGCCCCGGTGCTTGTAAACCTACATCAAAGCCTTGGATGGCAACAGTATGAGGCTCATTGATAGTGATCCAGTTCTTCACCCTATCACCAAATTTCTTGAAGCATGTCTCCGCGTATATCGCAAAATCTTCTCTGTCAAAATGACCAAAAATGTTACATAACATAAATCCAGACAAGTTGAAATATTAAGTTGGAATAAATAACTTGTGGTGAAACTTACATGATTTGTGGGCTTAGCCATCCATTGTACTTGTCTTCTAGAGCTTGAGGAAGGTCCCAATGGTATAGTGTTATATATGGTTTAATTCCTAGGATTCATACACATTGTAACATTCAATTTATCTATATTTAATGCAAAAAAAAACAAATATAAATGCTAAAGAAATGATGTATACTCCTTCTGTCTAATTTATGTGAAGGGGTTCGGAGTACTAAGGATCAAAATACTTAATTTTGACTGTGAATTTAGATATAGTTTTGTTAAGTTGTTTAAAAATAAAATTTATATATTTGAAAACTTGATGCAAAATGCTTTTCTGAAAATAAATATTGAGAAAATCATTGTAAAATGATCAACCCCCAGATAGTAACACCTTCACGTAAAATGGGAGAGTAAGAATGCCAATTGTACCATGAGCTAGTAAAGCATTGATCAACTTGTTGTAGTGATCAACTCCAGCTTGATTGATTTCTCCAGTTCCATCTGATAATGAATAAAAAAACAGAGTTAATTATTTGTTCTAGTGTGGTGCATGGTTATTTATTCAGATATTTTTTAATTGCTATATCAAAATATTGTTATTTTGAGTAACTTAATAATATAAGAAGATTTACTAGGGAAAATTCTGGCCCAAGCAATAGAAAATCTGTAGGCATCCATTCCCATATCCTTCATAAGTTGTACATCTTCCTGTAAAAAAAAAAGAATTCAGAATTATTCGATGGAGCGTCTCAATTTTGCATTTTGAGTATGAAATTTTTATGATAGGAACGGCTATTCCTGAAAGGGTCCTATCTGATGCAAATCTAAATTAGTCAAACTGCAATGCAGATACCAAACATCAAATAAAAAAAGAATAAAAAAAATATCTAGAAAATTAAACTGTACTATAAATTAAATTTACCGGATATCGATGATATTGATCCACGGCTACATCACCATTGCTAAAATCAATTACTTTACCTGCAAAATTCATCGAATTTTTTATTAATATTTAATTATGTTGCTCGGACTCTTCAAATTATTACTTTACTAGTGTTAAAAGATAAAAATAATTAGAAAATTTAGTAATAACAAAGATAAAAACAATATTAGTGGGGAAATAGCATGCACAATTTTTTTACCAAAAGAATGAGAAAATTTGTCCCATATAGTTTGACCTCTTCCATCCTCTTTCACAGCTCCTTCAAACTGCAACCATAACATATTACATATTATCTCATAAATATTAATCAGTTAAATGTGTAAAGTAAAAAAGATTATATTAGATGTACAAAAATAAAATATATTTATAACAAGTAAGTAATGATATTAGTATTCGCAGAAAAATATACTTTTTCTTTTGCTATAATTCATTTAACATTTTTTCAGATATTTGATATTGCAAGAAACTGGGTTGTATCTTTTAAGATTCTTACTATTGAATTATTATAGTTATATAGATTATAAATTGATATTTATTATTGTTATTTTAATAAATTTTTATATATAAATTTATATTTTATGTCAAAAACTAAATTAAATTGAACTTGTACCTATATGTTACAACGGTCTTTAGAAAAAAGTTACATAGCGTGTATAAATATATATTTATTTGGCATCAAATACATTTGATGCAAATAAATTTTTATAATAAAATTTGAGAAAACACATAAGAAATAATTCCTAAACTTGGCAGTACAAAAATTATACGGGTGTTTAAATACCCCTTAACATCTTTCAAGTTATTTAAATATCACTCTCACCCGCCATATCATAGCCACGTAAGCGCCACATCATAGCCATGTAGGCAGCATGCCATTAATTTTTATTTGTTCTTTACTTATTCATCATTTTTTCTTAAACACTTTTTTAAAAATTAATTACATCTATTAATTAATTTATAAATACATACCCCTCCCCTCTCTTTCTTCTTCCTTGTACACCATTTCAACCTTCAATACTTTCATTTTTTCTTCTTCACTATTTAACAATTATTTTAAAATAACTTTAAAGAAGAAATACACTATAGTATTTACATAATCTCCTTCGAACCTTCCCCACGAATTTTCCATCTTGAAGAATGAATTTTTTTATAGTCAATTTTTTCTTGACAACTCAAATAAGAAATAAAAATTGCATAAGAAAGTTGGTCCAAAAAAATATATAAATTTTGTGTAGGGATGGCAATGGGGCGGGGTGAATGTGGGGCGGGGTGGATTTAAGGCTATGTGGGGCAAGGCAGGTTTAAGGTTGTGTGGGGCGGCCGGGTGGGATGCGAAGCGGGTTGAAGTGGATTTTTTAAAATTAACGCGGGGCGGGGCGGGTTGTGGGTATATTTGATTTTATGTGAGTTCAAATTTAATCTTAACTTTTTACATGTTATAAGAGTGATAGAGCATTATTTATTAAGATAATTTCTATAAATCTATTAAAATGTTCGAGATAGTAAATGAAAATGGTTCAATAAAAAGATAATACAATTTTTTACATGTTTTCCAATTGATCCCTAAAAAATAAATTTTTAAGTCACTATCCTATTAAATTAATACAACTTAATGAAAAAAAGAATTTATTGTTATGAATTTTATCTTTAGTATCAAACTTAACTAGGAAAAGAAAATATTAAAAAAGTTATGCGGACGGAATGGGACGGGTTGAAAATGAAAAAAATTATTATGCGGAGCGAGGCAGGACAGATTAAAATATTTGCGGGTTAAGCTTAATCCGCCCCACCGCATGCCACACCGGCCCATTGCCATCCCTAATTCTATGAGATATCTGAACGGATCTAGAAATGACCGAAGATGAATTTGTCTTTGGGTCATTGTCAGATTTGGGTGTTGTTTTGAATCAGCTGTGATTTGTTTTTTTATTTTCTATGTTATTAAAATGTGACGAGTTTAGTCACACTTTGGTTAGAAAAAAGAGAAGAAGATAGTTTCATTTTTTTACATTATAAAATAATAGAAAATCAAAATGGGTTACTTAAAATTCAATAAAATTTACATTTATGAAATCGAAATCAATAATATAGAATGAAATTGACTAAATAAAACGATATTGATATTGAATTTTACGAATAATTAAAGAACTAGTAAAATGAAAATAGTGGATAAAGATGAGGGATGAAGATGGAGGAAGAGGTATTTCAATGAATAAAGAGGTGCATTGGGGAAGACAAAAGAATGAAAAGAAAAAAAACTTAAAGAAATTAAAAAGGGGATTAAGAAAATTTACATATTTTTTGAAGAAGTAATATATCAAGAACAACTATTAAATAGTTATTATATTTACTAGCCAATAAAAAATACCATGCCTACGATTTTATAAAATTCAATCTTTTCTCTCTTTTTTCACTCTCTTTTAAAAAAATATACTCACTCTCTCTATGACTCTATCATGTCACTCCTTAAGGACCTTAGGGAATATTCGAATCACTTAAACGATATAAAGGGTTTTTAAATTGTGTTGCCAAAACTAAAGAGATTTTTATGTATTTTCTTATAAAATTTCTATTCAATAAAATAATCAAAAGTCAAAATTCTCAAAAAAGTGGATTCGATTGAAATATCGACCAAACAAACTTCTATCTTGTGGGGTGGGAGGTCACGGGAATGATTGGATAATTGGTTTATATGATCCTTAATAGGTGAAAGCATAAAGAAAAATGATAATTATCAAAAATTGACAAGTGGACTAAAGGAACTTCAACTTGATGGTTTTCTTTAAAGCTTTTGTGTTAATTTCTCTATTTAATAAAGGAATATTTATCTTTTTGAAATTACTGAACAATAAAGTCACATCTAATGGGGGACATATTTCATTATTTATGACAGAATTTATGATTTTAATTGCCTTTATAATCCAATCCTATATCCACACGCTTATCTAAATATTGCTCCAAGCTTCTAATAAAGTTTGTTTTATTTTCTTTCTTTTTTAAATTGTACTTCTTTCGTCTCAAAATATTTATAATATATTTTTATTTACACGCCCTTTTAGCTTCACCCCTATGTCCAACAAGCAGATGTGGAGCTATCTTTATTTTTACAAATTACATTTTGTAAATAGATCAATTTTTTTTAATGTATATGTATTATATGTTGATTTTTCATAATTTCTTTGGATTTACTTTATATATATAGTATTTGATCTCTTCCATCTCTGTCTGGCACGTTATCACCTATGTTAAAGAAAAGTTTGGAACCCTGTAGAGAATGAAGAGGGGCCAAGAATATTTCCTTTCAACAGTGCTTTTTCGAGGCTCCACCCCCCCTCCCTCGAATAAGTAAGGCCCCGTTAAGCCTAGGTGAAGTTGGGGGAAAAAGAGTAAGGATTATATTGAAGTTCCCTTAGCTTTGTCAGGCACTAAAGAGAGGTTAGCTCTGTAAATGTGTAGAGCCAAGTGTAGTGTGGTGTAGTAGTAAGCACTTCTAGGCTCCTTCCCGGCTACTGGATCACTCCAGTGCTTCGGGTACTACGGACCCTCTGCCATCCATTGCAGCAGAGCCGTTTCATGGGCGGGGGGGCTAAGCGCAGTTCTTTGAATCAAAGGTTGAATGAAATCGATTCTTTTTTAGATAACAAAATAGAAATCGGATAGGATAGATGGATGGATCTATCTTTCTATTCATATATATTACTAAGAAAAATGGATTTCTATAGTGTTGTAGCGTAGCAAGAAGCCCCAAATCCTTGATTTGGCCAGGAAAGACTGCACTGCTTTGGGCCCAGGAAGCGAAGGGAATGAGCTCGGCTGCTTCTCCTCCACACTTCTTTTTCTCCGTGCCCGTTCCGCATGCGCTTCGCGCGCCATTGGCGCTTTGCTCTCCTCTTATTCTTCATTGGACGGTTCGGATGGACTTCGCCGTTCTTTCCCAACTAAAATCGAAAGGGCTGTATCACATCGAGATGTCGATTCGTTTTCCGCCCCCAATGAGATGGGGAATTTTTCACCCCCTATTTAGACTTTTGGGCCCTTCATCTTTCTGAATCGAGACCCGGCCCGGCTCGCGTCGTTCCAACAACCGGCGGGGAGCACCTCAGTATACGATCGCGCGCAGTAACTGGGAGTCCTATTACACCTAAGGCCAACTTCAATTCACCAAACCAAGGTTCATCTCGTGTAGTCATTGTGGACTCGTACAAGGATATTGAGTAGACGGTTGATGTATCAGACTCGACCCTATCTTTCGTAGCATGCATTCCCATCCGTGTCGCAACTGATTCGGTAAGCTACGTGTCCGGTGCACGGAGAACTGCCTTCGGTCCCCCAAACTTACTTACTCGTGGCAATATATATATATATATATATATATATTATTTTTAGTGAAAATTTTATTTTTTTCTCAATAAAACTTTTATTCTAGTAAAAATGATGTGTATAAATATATAATGATGGTTAGTAAAAATTGGTACTTTTTTGACGCAATTGAGCTGCTCTCCCTCATCAAATAACGAATTCTGTTGGGAAATTTACCAAACTTAACTTTCTTTTTTATGAAAATACTGTTGTATTTATTTTATACATTAACATTTTTAGTTTTTTAAAAATAAAAAAACACTAATTTTAATATTTTATAATTGTTAAACATAATTATCCTTCAACTAATAGATATACTTGCACTATTTGATATTTCAAAATGTCACTTTTTACAAATTTAACAAATTATCAAGTAGTTAAATCATTCAATAATTGATGTATTATGTTCAATTTGTGTTATTACTCCATAATTGACGGTGATCATGTTCTAAAAATATTCTAAATATCACATATTTCTTATATAAAGAGACAAACAATACATATTTTAGTTATTTAACATTATTACGTCTAGTCAAATATTATAAGGACTAAAATCAAAATTTGACAGAAATTGAGGGATTAAAATTACAATTAACCCTTTTATTTTTGTTGAGGCTTTTTTCTCTATTTGGAATATCTATCAACTTTTTGATTCTAGAACATTAAAGTCACATCATTGGTGGATATTTCATAATTAATTAGATGATTAAATGACAACTATACGCTTAATTAGCTAATTAATTGATTAAGGTTCCGACAAATTTTGTTTTGTTCCTTTTACCATTATAGTACTTTGTTCCCTACTAAATGCAGTTTTTTCTTTGTAGCTATTTGGCAGGAAATAGAAAATAAAAGTAAAAAAACAAAAATATTCTAATAGAGAATTACTTTCAAGGAAAGCACCAATGGGATTTTTATTTTTTTAAAAGAATAAAATATTTCTAGATTTTACTCCTTTTTATGCCAAAAATTATACCAAACTTGAAGTAAAGAATAAAAAAGAGAGAAAAGTAATCTTAAAGCCATGAGAAGACACTACAACAAACAGAAATTAGAAACTAAGTCGCTAATTCATCACTAAATAATATGTAACTAACAATATTTTTGATAATCTATCGTCAAATGTGATTAGCAATAATTTTTTACTTTATCTATCGCTAATTTCTAAAAGAAAAAATTAGTGAGGTGTCCTAATTAGAAACTCTAGTTTCTTTAAAGTTCCTTGGATAAATACCTATTAACAACATACGCAGAATTTTCATCAAGAGAGTTTATCATTTCCTATTTATACAATTAAGATACATTTCGACTTTATATATATTAAAAAAGATGAAAAAGAAGAAAGAAAGATAATTATTGGTTATGGTAAAGGATAATAATAAATAATAATAATAATAATAATATATTAAAATAAAAAAAATAGTGAATAGATATAGAAATGAGTGATTCACATTCACATGCATGTGTAGAGAAAAAAAGAAGAAGAAGAAGACAAACCTGATAAGCAGAAGAAGCAGTACCAAAAACAAAGTCCCTTGGAAAATTGTTTCTGCTAATATTTTGTGCTGAATTTGTATTAATAGTAACAAATATTAAAAATAGTAATGCCCAAACATCAATGCCTCTTTTCTTCAACATAGTTTTTTTTTTTTTTGGTGTGGAGATTGAGAAGGTTTCTAAGTATAAATATATCAAGATAATCAAGAAGACAAAGGGAGAGAAGGAAAATTAAAAAGGGGGTTTATGAATTCTATATTTTGGTTGGTTAGTGTTAGTTTTGGTGTGTATTTATAAAGGTTCCCAAAAAGGAATTAATGAATAAACATATTTTTTTTATTGTAATGTATTAAAGAGGAGGATATATATATGTTGGTTGTTGAGTGAAGCAAAAAATGGTGGCCCGGCAACTAATTAATGAGATAGAACTTAGAAGAAAAAGAAGCTAAGAAGATGAACCTTTGTTTTCTCTTTAAATAAGAGAACTCTTTTTTAGTAAAACTCCACTTTTTTATTTCTTTTTTTTCTTTGTGGGGATGGGGTAGTGGACATAATGGTTGCTTCCACACTTAATTATATGTGGAGGGTGGGGTGATGGAGGGAATGGTGGTGGGGTATTTTCTTGAATAATAAAAGTTTGTTTCATCATCTATTATGGATGCAAATTTAGTTGGAATTTCTTCCAGGAGACTAAAGTTTTAAGTTTGAGTTTTGGATATTAGATTGTTTTTTATATATATAAAAAGAAAAAAAGAACTTTTTGGTATGATACTTAGCTTTTTAATGTGTTTCTGAACTAGTCAGGTTTCAGATGATTAAAAATAGTGGTAGAGTTTAACTTTCATCCACATACTAAGTAGAGGCGAATATGCACTTTCTAAAATATGGGTGCATTTGTGGCTTAGTGGTCAATGAAGTAGTTGAGAATCGTGGGATTTCTGTGTCAAAACTCAGCAGAAAAAAAAAAACTTGATAGACAAAGTTACTGTAGTCATGTTAAAATCTTAGTTTAATTAATCATCAAGAATTCCCAAGCACACGAGTTTTCTACAAATAAAAAAAATAGAAGGCTTGTTATCCAACATTATACCATGACGTATATACTCGTGTCAATTAAGGTGTATGTGGATATGTTCCAATTTTGAATGAAGTTGTTTGAAAAAATACAGAGAATTAGAATTTCCTCGAGATTTGAATCCGAAATTAGTATTTGTTATTGGTTGGAGATGACATGTGTCTCGTAGAATTAGTCGAGGTGGCTGAAAGTTATTGGGACACAACAATCATTAAAACAAGAGGAATATGGGTGCACTAGCTAGTAAAAAAAATAAGAAAAAAATGTATTGAATGAGAATTAATCGGTAATCCTCTAGTATACAAATTAATATATATAAGAAAAAATATATGATTCATATAATATATAAATTAAACTCAATTAGCTTATAATTTTTAAAAGAGCTAGTTGCCATTTTTTCATATATACTCTATGGTATGGTTTTATGGGAAAATATTATGAGCAATTTGTAATTTTAACAAAGTTCTAAACCGTAACACAACATAACTATAGAGTTTTGTTACTTACCAGGGAAGAATATATGAAAGTCGATTCCCTTCCACTAATTTGTTTTAATTAGTTAACTTGTTAT